GCGAATTTTTCATGACGTTTGAATAATTACGAAACGAGCAAATAATTCACGAATCCAAAAGCACAGTCAACAGGGGCCAACCCTCTCTCCAGAAACAAAACAGCCCCTGGTGGCCGGGATTCATAAAATGAATGGAAAAGGTCATGTCACGCTGTATGATTTTCCCTCGGTCGTTAGTCATACGAAATAAAAAAAATCCATTTTGAAATGTCCGAAGGACCGCTCCTGTCATGATTTCCAAACTTTTTTATTTCGTTTTCATTATTATTTTTCATAAATCCTATGACCGAATTAGTTCCAGAGAAATTCATACCCAGTACCGTTTCTATGGACCAAAGGTTTTCTCAAGTACCTGAAGTTCAATGCTAGGATGTCGGAAACCCGTAGTAAAATTGTGGGAATTAAAAAAAACCGACTCGTTAAATCACAGAACACGCATATATACCAGCAAACCCAATTACGTGCGAACATTTGATTTTTCCAACTTTTAATTCAAAAGTAAAGTTGCCCAAATCCGCTCGTATTTAGGTTCTCTACGTGGTACATCTGGATCTCCACGTGCCCATTTAAATTTAATAGTTACAAAGTCCACATTTTTTCGTGCAGTGTTAACAATCCTATAGAACATATATATAAGAAATTGCATTACGTATCATTATATTTATAATTAGCAGATCTATTATGGAAAGTAGTTTGTTTCGTAATTTCAAGCCTCGAAAAAGCTATTCTCCATTGTCGAAAATGGTCACTCATGGTCGCGCACTGTAGTCGAGGGAATATGTTCGTGAAAGTTTTACAGAGAATACTTCGCATTAATGATTCGGAGCGCAGTAATATAAAGTTGGAAATTATTGTTGCGTAATGCTGCCAACCCAAAGACAAAATAGTTAAGAACGGATTATAGTAATCCAAAATGAAAAAAAAAACATTGCGAAAGCCGAAACCTGCGCCTACGACAAGAATATTTTCCACCGTTGTGTAACTATGAAAATTATATCCAAACTTTTTAACTACTGTGCGTTCACGTATGGGTCAATTCTTTTCAATTAGATTGCTCGTTAAGAGTTACCATGCGAGAGACTGCACGATTATCAAATATTTTTCCTGTGCCAAGATAGATCGTATATATGTACATATTTGCCGTGGTTACGTAATCGTATACAGAAAACGTTTGGAAATTGACGTCCGCAGGGCGTCGAGACGCTCCTGAAAATCGAATATCACCTCGGGCAACTTGGTCCTCGTCATTTCCTCTTCCCGTGGTAGGTTATTTTTCGCACCCTTGCTTATGCTTCAACGTTCGCAAAATGCATTGAAAGGAAAACAGAATTTACCTAGAAAACGACACAGCTTGCAGAATCCCATCCAAGCGGTTTGCGGTTTAATCCAAAAAGAATAATTTTCATCGGAAAAAATATAAGGCATGATAATAACCCGCATGAAAATTTTCAATTGCCAATAATTCTTTGCCAAAGATAAATCTCTTACAAATGATTTTCGTTAATTTGCCACGCGTCACCCTTGGCAATGGCAAATTTTCCTAGGGCACTTCTACCCTAATTAATGTGTAATATCAAAATTTACATTAAAAAATAAACCAACCAATATACCCCTTGAAAGCATACAATTTTTGTATATTTCATTATATCTGACAGGAGAATATCATCTTTGCAATACGTAAGTAGCATTATTAATTACATCCAGAAAAGCATTATTAATTTTATCCATTACGTATTAAGCTGAGAGCATTATTGTTCCCAAAATCAATCAATAATAATCTTTTTCCTGGTTTTTTTTTTTTTTCTTTAAGAACAGCCGCTCAGCCATTAAGTAGGTTTAGAAATGTTCAATCATCGACAAACCTATACTGAAATATTTGAATAATCAGACTGATCCGAAGATTTCGCAATATTCGCGAAATTTTTTATATTCCATTAGCAATATTATGCAGAGATCACGCTAGAAATAATTCATACGAAATTTGCGAACGCTGGTAAAACTACTATATTGAAATTAGCAAACCCGCATGTCTGACGCGTACCAGGTAGTACTTCACACATCATGCGTGTGGAGGAAAATGATTAGCAAAAAAAGGGTAGCATTAAAAAAATAAAGGCAGGAGAGTCTGTTATAAAATTTTACATATCTTTTCAGCCTACTAGTCCGTTATGATAGAAAATACACTGTATACAGGTTTTGATAGATTGAACGAATAAGAAGTATCGCGTTTGAAATTAGATTGTATTTATCGCAACGCGTTTACGCATCAATTCGCACGCAACGTACCGACGGAATGTGTGCAATGCACTTGAAAGCGAATCAGTTCTCCCTTTTATTGCACCCTCGTATAACACAGAAAGTCAACCCCTTTGGTCTAGACTCTGAAGAAATAAACTCCCTACATACGTATACACACGTGCATGTATATTCCTAATGAGAAAATGGACTTTCGCTTTCTCGTTTTATCACAGCGGAAATCGCATAATGAGTACATGCCTTGAGAGCGATATATGAAATATAACAAACACGATGAAGTTCCTATGAGCTTAGATAATTGTATAAAATTTTTGTCATCTACGAAGATGATCTGTACATATGGACGTAAATGGCTGTCACGTGAGAGGAATAAATGAAAAATTATCAATAAATCACTGTTGTTCATACTTTGATGTTATTTCTAACCCATGGTTATTGTATAAACGTATGGATAAGGGTTGATCAAAATATTTATATTTGCTTACTGAACGCATGAGATGATCACCGAACCGAATGGCCTCCGTGTCACAGTCGCATTACGATTTAATGATACAGAAGCAATATTAATGCTGAGCAATCAGTAACGGTCATTTCTGCATCGCGTTTCCTGCGATTAGATCGACGTGGAACCAGCATGGCCACAGTTTGTGTATCTGACTCGTGCACAGACATCCCGAATACCAACTGTGTATTCGCGAACATGTTTGAAATTCAACGGTAATCATAACACGTTACTGGGAATAGAATAGCTTTATCGTGATCCAAAAGTACGGAGAACGTGCACCAATTACGCTTTACGGGGTGTTGCAAGGGTAACAGAAATCAGTATCTAAGGGTTCGTTCGATCACGTTCCGAGTTGCGTTTCAATGTTACTAATGACGACTGCGGTATATTTTCAAGTGACTCTTCTTTACCATGCTGGGAAGTCTCATGGAATATCTGGAACTTTGCCAGTGGTTACTTGAAAAGTAAGAAGTCGAACTGAAATACCGCGCGGAACGATGCACCCTGATCCTGAACCTATAGGGAGAAATTGAACGAGCTGTTTGATGAAATTTTGATATTACGTAACAAAATGACAGATTTTTATACATATAAGAGTATAGCTGATAGTAATAGCTGGTTTTTACTATCAAATGGGAACCACCTGAACATATTTTTAATATGGGCATCAAATGAGCGCGACTAACTTCACGTGGTGTACTTAGGGCTGAATATGTTAGTTTTTGGTATATGTATATAATAAAGAAGAACCTTCGAAATTTATTCTTGGTCTTTCGTAACTGGAATGTACACCTAGAACGTGACCTGATATACGTATGTATATATATATTTATCGGATATATATATATATGTATATAGCCTGGTTACTCGGGTGTCTTATACATACAGGATCCTTCAAGAGCAAACGTACGACACTGAAATATCATCCACCTTCCTTCCGAGGGTTACTACTATTTCCAACCCCTATTGATCCGTTCCTTCGTGCCACATTCGATATCTCCTATGGTACGTTTAAAAACTTTCATCTTTCATAGATTTTGGAATTCATGATTACTTTTAGAAAGGGATTCTTAATAGGTGTTCAAATATAACAATGGATTCTTCAGGGACTGACGTCAGCTCTCAATTCTTACTCAGGACGTAAATGATATATCTGTTATTTGTGTTTTTATTGAGAACGCTATGCATACATATATATATATATATATATACATATACATATTGAAAGATAGAAACTTTTATTCAGGGCAGTATAAGCGACGCCGGAAGAAACTTTCATGGAATATAAATTCACGGTACTAGAATCGAGATGCTCTTCTCTGCCATTTTGAATTTTCCTGGGAAGGAAACGCTTGCAGCTTTTGACGAGTGATGGCTCCAAGAGACATCCACCTTCCTTCTTTATCCAACCGAAGGAAAATGTTTCCTAGACATCCATTGGCGTCGTCGCGGCCAATTTGTTCCGAAAGGTCAAGCCGTCCGATTTCCGGAAGCGAGAATGTCAGCGTGAAACGAAATTCCCTGAACCGTGAGATCCGTGAAGAGAAAGAAAGGCGGGAGGGTTTGAGCGAAAGATTCAGGTTCCGCAATCCAGATCCCACCCGTTATTGTTTTATCCAAAAATGAGGGCTTTGAGTCGCGGTCACGGGTTATCCAAAACAAAACGCAATTTAGTGGCACTAGCAACCTTTTATCCAAGAACAAATGAATTGGAAAATCAAGATAGTAAAAATTAATACTCGTAGCGTTTGCAAATTCACAGCATTTTTTTGCATCGAGTGCAAACTCTAGTCTGGTACAGAGTTACATTCACGCAGGGCTGCAGCTAATACCCGGTGCAAAATAATTCTAAAAATCGAGAACGCCATTAGAGAAATAATAAAAATTATCATTTAGTGTATGAAATACGATAACGTTACTTTTGATATCCGTCACGAAACTCCGCCGATTATATGATAAGCCCAGTATGCATAATAGGAGATGCATCTACCGACACAAGAATATTATATTTCCCCCAATGGAAATTGCGTTATTAATTCGTTTTCTGCACATAGAAATACGCATGGCTCAGATGAAAAAGAAAATTGATATATGACATAATGATACTTCCAGCTTCACAAAATCTATGAATTTATCTCATATATAATACCGAATAATAATTTAAATTACATATTGTACCCAGGCAAACATACCCACTGTGTATACAGTTACTATAAATAGATACAAAGCATAAGCTCACCTTCGCATCCCGACTCTTCATCTCCTGTCTCTTGGGCACGATACCGTCTCCATCAGCGTACACTAGGTTTCTGATAACTCCGTTGAAGCGTGGCTCAAATATAACACTGGGCAGAGCAAGTAAGGTCAACTTGCTGTTATACCAGCTAGGCATTCCGCCTATGTAAACATCGGAATTGCCGCCTAACTTGCCGAATTCAAATTCCTTGCCACGTGACGTAGACGTAGAGCTTACGCCGTCAACAGTCAGGGTAGTGTTTTCGTTATTTCTCGTTATCTGAACTTTGTGCCAGCGACCATCGCCAAGATCATGACCTACGGTGACAATCTGCGCACCACCACCCAGGTTATACCTGAGACGTAGTGCACTCTCGACAAGCTTTATCTCGAAGAAGTCATAGGTGCCGCCGTCGTCGGTATACAGCAGCAACCCGTTACCCTGATCCGTCTTAAACTCAAGCTCCAGGGTGCCGTTCAGGGCAGCGTTCCACTTACGGAATTGTGCATAGCTCGTGGCGGATCCTTCCAGGACGAAGGACAAGGTCTCCCCGAAGATGAGGGTAAGCGTCAGTACCAAAGCCAAAATAACTCCCCGGGAATTCATTTTATGCCTTGTATTATTCATGCTTCCGAAAGGGCTTTTCAGCTTTAAATAGGTCGCGCACTGTATTTACCTTATAAACGTGAATGGCCTACTTATTTATATATAACTATCTTTTATATATACCAAAGTATATGTATATGCAGATGATACATATTTATACGTATGTATAAATGTGAAATAAATGTACGACTGTGTATCTAGTACGAATTCTATGTACAGGTATGATTATACATATCCAAGAGTCTAAACTATTTTACGTTAACGTTGATACAGCGTGTACCTAGTATATACGACGGTACGTATACACGTTATATGAGACTCTATTAATCGAGTTAACTAAAACAGTTAACTGACAGTCCCTCCCTACGTAATAACGAGATGTCCCTATATACCTATGTATTAAATGTTTTGGTAAACACGTAAGACCGTGACAGTAGTACGTTAATATTTTTGTAAGATAATTATTATCAAAACTGTTCGATATCCCAGTAAATTTTAACCTCTCCTTAGCCGCTCCAAACCATACAGTGAAATACAATTTTGTTGCTGTTCATTTTCTTCTTACATGTCGACAAACACTCATTCGGCTGGACACAGTTCACTACGTTGCGTAGATTCGGTCTCCTCTTTCACGGTTTAGCTTCCTCTTCCAAGGGTTGGAGGGTCGTCAGCAAGTCCGAAGACGACACGTTGATGAGAATGACGTGTCTCACTTACGTACTATAAACATAGCGACCTAGGAAGTCGTATCGTTCCCGGGTTATCATCCACTGGAATCGAGAGCACGAGGTTAGTTGGAACGTCGAGCATGCTACGTGTCGTAGCTTCCTTGCGGAGTCCCACCGCGACTATCTAGCATCTCTTCGCCACCTCAGAGAATCCTTGGCAAGGACGTGATCGAAGTTTATCGTCCACGCGTTCCTGGCGCTTTTCGTACGTCAGAATAGACGTTAGTCAGACACTCGCCAGGTACGCGAAGTTTCGCATACAGTCTCAAAGTGATCCTATCGAGATTGACACTGCTGAACTATACGCTCCTGTATCATACGAGTTCAGGACGTATACGCAAAGAGATACTGCACTTATACGGTTCAGGGATCTTCGACAGGGCAGTTCGCAATGCCTGCGATACAATTTTTCGTCGATCAACACAAAGTTTCCCACGAGTAATCCCATGTACACGTAGTTACTGTGAACTTTGTCGTCCTGGAGTTATGTCATCCTCACTCGTGCAGAGACACTGCTGATCTAGCGACGCGTAGTCCTGTTTATGATGTAACACCAGAGCTTGAGATTTCTTTTGGAAATTCACAAAATTATTAATACACTTTTAACGAAGCACAGCACCCCGTTAACGCGTGTCGAAACATCAGTCAACAAGCTGAGACTGTCGCGGACGATTGTATGTGTTAAAAAAAAAATGGTGGATAGTGTCGTGAGAGAGAGAGAGAGAGAGAGAGAGAGAGAGTGAGAGAAAGAAAGAGAGAGATGGCGAGTGGGAGAAAGAGAAGAAAGAGAGACAACGATAGTGTGAGTGCAAGTCGGGAGTAACAGAGAAAAACAGAGAGAACACGGTTTTACGCGGAGTCAACTTCGCGCGGACGTTATTTCGCAATCGATCCGGTACGTGTAGCGTATACGCCCCATTTTTCCGGCTTCTCCTGCAAGCTCCTCCGTATTTTCGAAGACTTCAGCGAGAGGGGCGGACGGGATCTCGGTAAGGTCTGAGGTCCTCGAATGCCTAGGAAGTTCTGATATGTATGCACAGCATCCCTCTGCCGATTCGGAGGTGGCTCAACCCTCGACGGCTCCCGTTGATACTGGCCTGGACTGACGGAGGAGACATCGGTTCCGACGGAGCGACGCCCCCGACGCCGACGCCTCGACGTACACTGCACGCAGGCGCCGTATCAGCGCCGCATGTATATCTATACGGGGGGTCAGAATGATAGGGAGCACGGTTGGCTAGGTAGGTACAGTCGTGGGAGGATGTTGTAATACGCAAAGAGTACACTGGAAAAACGAAGGTGGGATTCTCCGGGATTAAGAGTGAGCACAGAGCGATAGGAGTATCCTCACTGAATCTCGACGTTCATCTCCGCCATCTGCTGCAATTTACAAACGCTGACCCCGGTGTCAACGCTTTTGTTCCATGCGCTGATACCTGCCCTTAGACGTATGACGTGTCAAGCCTGAAAACAGAGCGGAGCATTGTCGTTGGGACTTTTTAGTAGCGTGACAGATGATGCAGCGGAATTGATCAACGCTTAATTTGTCGCTGGGCATAGTGTATAAGGTGATAGTCGGACAGCCCAGTTTATGGTGTAACGGTCAGTCCGACTAAACCGTAGGAGGTAATACAGGTGAATGTTAACCGTGTCACCGCACGCTATTGGGTTTGTAAAGCGATAAAGCTGAAGTGCTCCCCGAGAGGTCTGTGAGCTCCGAGCTTACCGACGGGATGAGGCCGATTTACTATATGCATGGATACAGGATGTGCACCTATGTATACACCAGTGACGATGACTGCAGAACAGGGTACGATGTAACAGGGTAGGGAGCTAGGGTGGCTGAAGGTGTCCAAATGCTGGAGGACGTGCCAGCAGAACTGCAAAGGTTCTAGGTGGGCTGACGTGAACTGGGGGAGGCTATACGAGAGTGCCCCTATAGTTCACACCAATAGCCACAGAGACACAGATGACACTGTGCAACGAGACAGTGCTGAGAAAGCGTGGGTCGAGCTTATGGAGTCCCGATCTACGACGATGATACAACACGAACGGCCAACATGGCTAACGTCCTATTTCAACTTTGACTCTCCTCCTCAGAAACCCCCGTCTCGGCTAGCACAGCTCCTCTTCGCTTCTTCGCCTCTCTACTTCCACGGCATTCCTTCCACACCCCCGCGTGCACGGTCCGCCAATTTCCCTTCCGCAGCTTCCCACACCCTTGGACCCGGTAACCACGCCAACGTCTCACTTAACTTCCCGCAGCTACGTCACTCGGCCCAGCTTCAGTTTGCATTTCTCTATTTGACTTCGCGTTTCGACTAAGTGGCGTCCATGCTGGTGATTCGTTGCTCTGAACTTTCATAGACGATCGATGACAAAATTAACTACCGGACAACCCGCAGCATCTGACCATTCACGCAAAATAATCAAATCAGAGGTACCAACCGTTCCCGAACTGCTGTCAGAGCCTTTCTCGAAGGTAACTTTAAAAGCATTCCAGTCGATCTCCATACCGCGTGTTACTCTCTTCTCTAATGACTTGACGAGGCTACAACTTCCTGTCGTAGAGTCATAATCCGAAGGACTGTACGATTTCAAATTTCCGTTTATCTTCCTCTTGACTCTCGTTATTCGCTTCCTGAGCCAGGGTCTTGTTCTCTGCTGACATCCGGTTGCTGAGAAGTGGACATGCCACTTACTCCGAAAGCTCACGTTCTTCGAAAACCGTGAGAACATTCTTGTTTTCTTGAATAAAGTCATTGGATATCCTGGTTCTTGGTTCACTCCGAATTCTACAGCAACACTGTAGTAGATTACGTAACTAGCTCGCAGCTTCTGCCGGGGAATGAGATCCAACCAGCCAAGCGAAGGGGTGGCAAAATAAGGGATGAGTGTGGCCAAGAAGCAAGGGACGATGGTGTTCAACGAAATATGCTCCTCACGTACCAGCACCGCTTTCCTTCCGCCATACTTAACTATTGCTACTACGACTTGAGAACAGTTAACGATTTTATTAATAAAACTACGTCCGGTTTTTCGCAATCTTATATTTTTAGACAACCGTAACGAGATGGGTTGACGGTGAATTTTTGTTTTTTTTGAAAGAGAGAGATATGAAATCCACGCAGCTCTACGTATATTCTCTTAACTAATAGAATGACCTGTTATAATACGCAGTTGGAGATTGTTTATTGTTCCTGTAGAATGCAAACATTTATAATGTTATCTTAGGCAATAGCACGAGGAACTTGCAAATTTAGGTTACATAGTACGGCAGTCGGATGCAATCAAGATTTTTCTATTCTTTGATATATTATACGTTTTGAAACTCTAATTCCCGTTACTGAGATTTATGAGCTGGAACAGCTAAACGGCTTTCTTTTGGTCCAGACGAAATGCTTGGAAAAAGGTAATCCGAGATACGTATGGAAACGTGCGTTTTTGTTGAACCTTAATAAGCGGTCGACATATGCTAAATGGATAGCATAAATTTAATTATCGCCTAGTAAGGTTAGGTTACATGCATGTAATAAGTACCACGTCTACACGTACTATAATAGACACCTCAAATAATTCTACTGTAAATTGTATATTTACTATTTATTCTTAGGTCTTTTCTTTTTTATAACGAACCATTCCAAAATCCAATTTGCCCTATGTGCTACGTGTTATTGGAATTTCCGTGAACCTGGTAGTAATGGGTTGTGATACTACAAAATCGAATTTCGACAAAACCATACAGTTTTGCACGTTAGTAATCGCGTCACAATTTTACACAACTCCTCGACAATAAATCCTTTTTGTACCAGCTTGTAGGCAACAGACGTCTAAATCCAATCGGACAGTCTGAAGCCTCGATCGCAATGGATTTCAGGGAATTTCGAAATTCAAAAGAGCTTAGCAAACAGGAGAGCGGTAAAGAGCGAACATGGAATCGGTCGTGGTTGGGCCAAATACGAAAGGGTTGATTGAGCCGGGTAAACTTCGCGATAACTCTTAGTACACAGTATGGACTGTCTTACCCCTTATCAATGCCACCACCATAACCAAATTTATTACTATAATCGATACAATGATTGTCATAATAACCTGATTCGTTTACTAAACCCCTCCTCAAGCGTGACCTAGAAAAAAAAATCAGACCCACCAAATTTCAAAATATAAAATACAAAAATGGAAAACAAGGATGATTTAAGTTTATCCTCCCATCGATGGCCAAGTTGCGCAACAATGACTCGACATTAATAACGAAACAGTCTACCCGGCGGATCTGTTTTTGCAGTAACCCAGACGACGCCTACGACTCCATAGCTTATACTTACTCCTCCTCGTGTACGCGTCTCCTCGAAAATAGACTAAGTGACTGCCACACAATAAACCATGATCATCCGTCCGACATTGTTTTTAACTATCGTCGTGTAGATAGTTAGACTGATATTTCAAGGGTTGCTGCGTACGTCTGCTGTATTATGTAAATATATAACAGTTCATCGGGCTGGTAGTAATTCGCTGTGACCCTATCTAGGTAGTTTTACGTCCATGTGTATATTTCCGAATTTTTTTTTTTATTACGCTATATTTTCACGTGGGTATAGTGAAAATATTTTCTTTGAATTTTCACAAGGGACCGTCGCAACATGTAATGTTACGTCTAGACACCCTAGGGACGAGGTAGCACGGATAAAAGGCTTTGTAGAATGTCGAACTTTTCAAAGGACGAAAGAAGACCTTTACTATACAGCTAGTTGTCCGCCGATTATTAACAGAGTCAAAAGGACCGATCAGACTTGTTTTAATGAACGAACCATGTACGGGTATATCGAAAGTTTGATTGAGGTATCGACAAAGCTGATCTGGATACGGTGATGTTATCGGTACGTTTAATGGGATATATTTGAAGTTTTCTGTCAGTTAATGGATAGGCAGTTTTAAATGTAAAAAGTTGCCAGTCAGAAAAAGCGAACGGAAGGCTGGTCAGAGCTCTGACGTATTCCCGATAAACGAATTTCTTTAATTTCCTATGATTCTTATGACTTAAAAAATCCAACGTGATTTAAGAGCCACGTAGATTGTACCGGATAAGAAAAAGAAAGCGAACGCAACGATCTGGAAAGATGGATGAGATTATTTTTAGTGATACTGATATTGGGAATTGGCTTAAAAAAAGTTTTCTATTGTTGATGCAAAAGGTACTTATCTCAGTGCTTCGCTAGCATCGTCCTGTCAGTATCAGCGCCTACAGCGCGACCAATATTATTCAGAATCGGAATGGCATCCCGTGACGAAGAATATCGAAGGCCTTTAAAATCAGAAAATAAATGGAAGCATAAGAGCGCAACGATCGCTCGTCCATTCCCGATCTAAAGGCGAAGTGGGAAATCGTTCCTGTCGGGAACATATGGCAGGAACGCATATCATTGACCCGTCCTCTCGATTTTTCATTTTCTTCCCCACGTTCCACTTTTGCGCTACCGATACCCACAAATAATCCTACGGGATGCTCGGCCTTCGTTTCTTCATTGGTTTTCATCTGCCACGTTCCACTTCTTCTCTACTCGTTTACTTTGTCTCCTGAATCTTCCTTCCTAGTGTACGACCTTTACGCACTGCTACCTATCTATGGGGTTCGATGAGAAATTTTTATGGTAAAATACGAAATAATTCATTTCCCTCGACGCTTTTACGAGCCACTACGTCGCCTGGTCAATACTGGGGAAGGCGGTCGGTAAAGAAGGGTTCTGACAGCAGTGGATAAGTTGGACTTTTTTGAAGAATATCATCCCAGAGGAATACAGAGGTACTCCTTGTAATAAGAGATAATGCCTTTAGATTTCGAAATTATAAAGAAAATTAACTTATCGGAATTTCTTATATTGTTTTATTGGCACTGAGTGAACTCGGAAAGTTTGAAAAGTTTTTTGAGTTATTTTCACGCTTCTCATTGGGTAGTTAGTGCTTCGAAACTCCTGGTTCAAGTTAACTTTTCGCCTACTCTCCGCGAACTTTCTCATTCGAAAAGGAAGGGTCGTCCCTTGAGCATGATAATTGTGATTGGTTCGTCAATTTCGAAGGGAACTCAAATATTAGGGTGGTA